TGAGAGCTTTCAAACCTCCAGAAAGACACCATAAGCACACTCATTTTTATCTTTTGATTATTTTTGGTGTTTTGAATAATAATTATTTCAGTCTGATATACTTTGTGTCTACTATCTCTTTTCTAAGTTGCTCCATGACACATTTCCTGATTTAACCTCATGTTATTCTGTAGATCCATTTAGGTAAGAAGGATAAAATGTTGGTGCCATGATCATAGAATTTGTTTTGGCAAAGTTTTCTGTATTTTTTCTTGACTAGTATATTTACCTGTGCTCTTCTTAGCTCTTTAGTGTTAAGTTTTAAAAGGCTTTGTACTTGAATAAATGGCAAGAAGCCTGCAAAGGTATTGGTTGTACTTTGGATAGAGTGCCATTTTGAACTGACTGAGTCATGCTGAGAGCAAACCATCAGCCAACACATTCCAGCACTACAACAAAACTCTACTGGGTGCCTTGAATAAGTCACAAGAGAGGAAGAAGCACAGAGTGGCATCTGTAGTTGCTGTACCTCTGACAGTAATAAAGAAGATAGTTCGGCTTGTCAACTGAAATTCTAAAGTATTTGAATAGGCCTTAGTGGACTTTTAACAACAAGAAGAGAACTATATATGTAGTGTTTATGGTACGTCTATAATATCTAGAGTGTGAATGATTTGCTGTACATACGTGAGTTTCATTTAATGTAATAAGTTGTTTTTTTTGTTTCGAGCTTAGTATGCTGTTTTTTTTCAATTTTATTTTGTGCTTCTTGATTTTGGTAAGTTGTGCTCAAAATTGTGTATATTCCCAGTTATATTATATCATGTTGTATCTCTTTGATTTGTTTTCTTTTACTTAATATTACTGAGCTATGAATTATATTTAATTTGATTCTGAGGTCTAATTTGATTTTAAGTGTTTGCAAACTAATGTTATATTTCTTGTTTCACTGTGTTACTATGTAAGTGTTTTGCAGGACGAGAGTAAGTATCTCTATATCTACGATATCCATTGCTGATGAGGCCTTTCGCTTCATATCAGGGCTTTTCAGGTCAGCTGGGATATAATAGACACAACAGTGGTTGAAACATTATTTAAATTGGCAAACTACTTGACTACATCTGTAATGATGTGAACTGGACTTAAGATGACGTAGTGTATATCTATTCAAGTTTATTTTCATCACAACATGTTAGAATGCAAGGATTTTTAAACACTATATTATTCATTATGTTAATGCCATATATTATTATTTATCATGTTCTTGAAATAACCTGCTGGGATAGCCAGAAGGTGAAGAGTATAAGAAAAATGTAGTATTCAGGCACCCTTTATGTCTTCTACCCAATTACTTAATATGATTTCTTTAAAATTTCATACTTATAAGAGTACATAGTTAAACACAAAATATTTGTTAAGGAAGTCGATCAGTCCTTTCACTTAGTTATCTATTGTTCTGGACAGTTCACTGCGGTATCATGTGTGCTACCTCTTGTGGTAAAAATTTCTGTAAAACTGAATATTCTGTGAAAATTGATAGTGATCTTTTCCACTGGTGGGTCAGGTGATAACTTAAGGATACAACCTCTTTATCTTGTGATAAGAATGACCAACAGTGACATGGGAAATGCATACCCCGAGAAGAATAGCATCATTTTTTCGCGAATAAAATGCTATACTTTCTAAGTATGCATCAGTTCTTCACACAGTTCGGCAAACTGACTCATCAGTACCGCAAATATCCAGGAAATGCATCACCCCTAGTGCATAAAAACACTCTCATTAAACTTTGATTTTGTTTTCTTTTTCTTTGCTCGATGTACTATATGATACATTTCCTGATTGAATCTACTGAAATTCTGCAAATCCTTTTCGAATATTTTAAAGGAAAATCAGTGCACCTGATAATACCACAGAAACATGAGAAATGCAATGTATAATAACCTTTTGGTAAAGCAAACAAAATATTTTTTCATACAAAAAAAGAAAACTTAGTACTCTTATCCACGAGCAAAATCGGACATTCCTTGCTCTAAGTTATGGTAGGTTAGTCTTAAAGTATTCCTTTTCGTAAGATACTGTTGCGTATTTGCTTGTTTGTTAATTTCCGGTATAAATTCTTTCCGAGGAACTTCAGCGATACAAGTCCTTTGTTAATTAAAACTAGTTTATTTTTTCTTGATACAATTTTGTAATACACAGAATTTCCATAGTCACTTTAAACTTAACAATCTTTATAACACACCCTATAAATCACAGTGATTCATACACTTTACTTAAGGTGCCTACTGTTCGCTTGACTCAATTATCTCTATCTTCAATCTATCTGCATATCTCTTCCTGCTTTATTTGCCGGGCTTATATAATAAAGAAAGAGGGCGCCTGGGACAGACTAGAGTTGCCAGGACAATTCAAGATCCTTTGAGAATCTCATGACGTGTTACCAGGGTCACGTAACTTCCGCTGTCGTAGCAATACTTTGCCCCAACATTAAACTCGAACGAACTCTAAAAGGTCTTCTTCTCTGCAAAAATTGAGAGCGAACTGATACAAAGAACGTGTCTGGAATTCAAACATCAACTTGCACTCTTTGTCCAGCGGACAGCGTCTCCTCGTGTCCTATGTTCCTGACAACATTGATGAGGTATCAAATTCAGTTTACGTCACACTTCGGACAGCAAAGGGTATTCCGTTTCTAACTAGTTTTAACCCAGGTTTCAAAATATACTGAATATCCTTGCTAACAGAAGATGTTATCTAATAACAGAACAAAAGCCTGAGGTTGCTAGAACAAGATAATATTAGACATCCTAGACCATTTGTTGTCGTCATGATAGAGCAAAAACTAAATAACTATTAATTTAGTAAAATGATTTTAGTTGGTAGAAGAACGTAGTATGCTTGCATACCACAGAGAGAGGACGTAAAGAAGAATTCCCATCACCCTTCGAATAACACAGTCTATTTAACGTAAGTTTAGCAGAATTGTATATTTAACCATTTTCTTACTACTAATAATTAGAAGTATTATATTGTTACGTCTCCGTTTGTTAATTGATTTTCCGTAACTTCATTCCGAGGTAATTTAACGACACAAGTCTTTAAC